GCAACAGTTCCGGCGAACAGGAACAACTACCCAGTTACTCTGACGATGGAACTGAGAGAGTATCCGAAAAGTCATTCTCAAAATTAATTGGTCGATGTCCTCGGACAGAAAGGCGAGCGCACTTAAGTCTCCTGTTTGAAACAAAATGGCTAGGAACTGTACAGATACGAACGAGAAATTAAAAAAAGCACGCGCAGGCGAAAAGTGCACAGATGCTTGTAATAATAAATATAAATAATAATAAACAACTACTCATTAAACGAGAGTAGCATAATAAAATGATCGATTGTCACTGTGCAATGATTAACAGCGCATCGCATGTACATATGGAGCACATTCCGAACGAAAATAACGATCAAATAAAACGCAAGGAGGTTGAATAAACAGGATGTTAGGATATATGCTTCTCAAAATACTCTAAAGATGCTATTAGGGGCACCCGCTTTAGTTTTTTATTTTGACGAGGTCCATGAAGATGCACGTCTGGTAGGTTGTGCATTTTGATGCCCAGCTTCGCGGCAATCAGACCCACATAGGCATCCTCCATGGTCAACGGTTTGGTAAAGGCTGCCGCTATGGACAGTGCCGCCACAGCCTCAGTGCCAATAACGTAGCAGGGACCAGCGGCATAGGCTGGATACATGTAGAAGGGCATCTCGCTACGCGTTAGAGCCCACTTGTGTCCCGGTTCCCGTATTACCTTTGGCCGCTGGTATACGAAGCCGAAGACGGAGTGCCGCAGCTGCCCCTGGTGTTTCCCTTCAAAGGTGTGGAAGTAATCGAGGAGAGCGGCCAAGTTAAGGCCATGGTCGTCATCCATGAAGGCGAAGAGGGGACTGGCACCGCCGCAGGCCACGTGAGCAAATCGCAGATTCAGCAGCGTCTTGAAGGTCAGGTTATAGTAGGTGTCGGTGAAGTCGGTCAAAATGATATCGTCGAAGCGGGCAGCCTCATTGCTGATGGTATCCAGTAATTCGGGCTGGTTGCTAGTGGCAACCGGGACACCTAAACTGAAGAGGAGGCCGATGGTGGTGTTGGGTTTGTGCGTTTGTTTGCTGATGAGACGGCGCAGCCGGCCCCGGCGTGCGTCATTGGCCGGTGAGCTCTTGACAATAATGATCAGGTTGTACCGTGCGCGACGCTGAGTTTCATTCATAGGGCAAACAGACTGACTAGTGCGTATCAGTACAAGCTTCGGATTATTAATTGGCGCCTGAAAATGAATTAAGTAATTCATTTAAGCACTGGCTACCGAAAAGACACAAGTAGTTATATACATACATTCATGAGAAAAAGAATTTGAATGTATAGTCATTTGTTTGATCGGTAAGAGACGAACAAGTTTTAAAATCAAGGTAGAAACAAGTGAGTTAAATAAGTTTGACTACTTGAAAATCAATTCTTCAGTTCTTCGAATAAGCAATAATGGCTGTAGTCAACATGAAAATTCTAAAATGTGTAAAACACACTTTACCCAGCTGCTCCTATTAAGATACTGGGACATTAGAATGCTCAATCTACAATGTCTCTAGCCCTGCCTGTCGCCCCATTCTGAATCGCTCGACAAAAACAATACTCCTAAGTTTTCGTTGTGATAACGCGCAGCGCCCGAGCCCTTAATAGGTTTTGAGTTACCATGTAGTCGGTAGGTAAAACTAAACAGGAATAAACAGGAATCATTATTTAAACGATATAATGGGTGTCAACAAAAAACGCCGTAAGTAATATGTGCAGTTAGGCAAATATAGGGAAATAACTAAATTTAGTTTTTCCAATTGTGAAGAAAACTTGCAGCATTCGGCGGGATTTGAATCCGCAGAGTAGGGAGGACCTTTACGCAGCCAATGCTCTACAAGTTGAACCACTCTTGCATCGTGTATTTACTCACACGTTGATGGATTTCAACCGCCCAACTTTACCACTCATATGGAGTCCATCAATACGGAACAGCACGCTGACTGCTCAAGCAGGATTTCCTGAGCAAGTATCTAGAATACACAAGAATTCCTTTCAGGAGTTTTGGTGGATTTTCTTAATTTAGCCGACCCAAGTTTAAAAAAGGAAACTGGAAGAGCAATGGCTGCGCAAAATCCTTCCCTATTATGCGAATTAAAATCCTACGATTAGGTCAAATTAATTAAGCAAATCTTCCAAACCTCCTAAATGAATAACTAAAACTAAAATCAGCTAACTAAAAACGTAGGCCTTAGTAAGATAAACTGACTTTACTTAAAAAAATAATGTAAAACTAAAACAAAATTGAAAACCGAATAATGAACTTAAATCTAAACTGAAATTTGAACTTAAATATAAATAAATTAAATAAACCAAATAAAATACACTTACGTACATATGTTGCGCATTTAAGCTGAAGGTGTGCGCAAAGTGTCGCGAAGCGAACTATAATAACCTAACTTCAGAATGTTAGGTATGTTTAGGTATATCAACAAACCAAGTAAACAATGAAGTACAAGTGAGTAAAAAATTGCCAAATTTGTCACACCCGATAAAATAGAAGGAATCAAGAAATTCAGAGGAAGAGGATACGATAACTGACGTTTGGGATTTCTGTATTTATTGGTGGCGCGCTATTTTGTTGCAAACAGACTATATTATTAAAACAATTTTGAGACGCAAGGTAGAATTCAGTCGATTTAACTTTCGCAATAAATGATATTGTATTAAATAGGGGAAACAACATGAATCGTTCTGGCTATAAACAGACAGATATACGAACACCCAGGGCTTGAATGGCGAGGAATTTTAACTAAAGTCCTTTATTAGGAGGGTA